GTACGTGTATGTATGTATGTGTTTGTGATGTATATGTACTTGTGTATGAATAATACTAATATTCAAAAATTATCTAGGGAAGATAAAAATTTACAAAACTGAATACAACTAACTGTCTGATAGAATGCAAGCCAATTTTAAAATGTATCTTTCAAAGTACCTTTGGCCATTGATTAAAAAGTATTTTTTTTTTAATAAAGCCCTTACTGGACACCAAAATAGTAACTTGCTAAATATAAGACGTTACAATCCTTGGGAGTTCATGAGATATAAAATGAAAAGCTACCTTACTTAGAGACCCTACCATACCTTATTATGAAACCCTAACAAATATAGATTAAACATAGATCAAATGAGAGTGATCATTCTTCTCTGGCAGATCATGCAAATCAGCAAGGGCATCATGTGGGGGTTGGGGAAAATTAAAGATTTAGCTACTAATAAAATACTTAGCAGAAAACAAAAACTAAAAAGGTATCTCACCAAAATTTCGCAGCAATGTTTTTCAAAATAGCAATGACTCTAACACTTATTTTTAAAAGCTATAGATATGAAAAGCTAAAACAGCATGCCCTCTCTATTAAACTATAATCATAGAGGGTTTTAAAATTTATGGGTAATTTTTCCAGAGCACCATGAAAGGGAACTTACCAACTGCTCCAACACTATTTTGCTCACTTGTGACAAGTAAAAAAAAAAAAAAAAAAGAAAAAAAAAAGAAAAAAACTTTCACTGCCTAAAAGAGCAGAGCATACACTGACACCTAACAAAATTTCCAATCCCTCTGACGTCACCGAGACTGAGGGAAAATTAACCCTTACTCTATTTGCTTTTAGTTCCTTGCTCCTACCACTAATTCGAGAGAATATTAGCTAAGCAGGGTGCTTTTTCCAGCTTATACATTTCAACACTAACTACAGGTCACGAGATTAACGCTGCAGTTCAACATCTGGGAAAGAACTGTAAGCAGCAACTCTTTGATAACAATCGACCAATATGCTGGTTAGTTTTTGTCAACTTGACACAAACTATAGTCACCTTGAAAAAGGAACCCTCAAATGAGGAACTGCCTCCATCAGACTGGCCTCTTGCGAATTCTTTTGATTAATGATTGATGTGGTAAGGCCCAGTTAAGGGTGGTGCTACCCCCCACCCCAGGGGTGTGTGTGTCAGGTGGTTCTGGGTTGTGTAAGAAAAGCTGAGCAAGCCATAAACCGTGCAGCAGTAAGCAGTGTTCCTCTGAGGTCTTCAGATCCTGCATGGAGCTCCTGACCCAACTCCCCTTGATGATGGACTGTAACTTCCATGTTCAAACAAACCCTTTCCTCCCCAATTTGCTTTTGGCCATGGGTTTTTATCAAAACAACAAAAAGAAAATACAGGAAGATCATTAGATATGACAGATGACCCATCACAGAGGCACTTCTCCCCACCTACAATCACCTTTCCTACACCCCAGACAATCATATTCTTTATCTCATAAATACTATAAACCCCAACCTCAGGGAGGCAGAGTTGAAACCTGCTCTCCTGTGTCCAGTGGTCTGACAAGTGAACAAATCTTTCTCTCTAAACCCACTGTTTCAGTGATCGGCATAATAAGTGTGGCCATAATGTGTCTGGTTTGATAACTCCAATCTCTGCCTCAGTCCCTAAGCGCTAACCAATTATTTGTTGTTGCCAGGATCCACTATGATTATTCTGTACCTTTTTATACCTTTGGGCAATGATAGCTTTCTAGAGCATAATAACCATGTAATATTCATAGATAACATAAATAGCTCATACAAGCTCATTCATATATATGAAATCACTAATTGCTGCTGAGGCTTCCACTTTACTATCCCCTCCCCTGGGAAGCTGCCCATTAGCACCTCTGTCACCTCCTACTGGCTCCAGACCCAATCAGGTAAATACATATATTCCTGTGGCTCTTCTGTATTTTTCTGTAAATCTCTCATATCACATTACAGATTCCAAGTCTATGAGGGTGTACTTCATGAAAAGTTTGATCACTCACGTGTAAGACTGCTGTCCTTAGCCAAACTTGGGAAGCTCAGTGATTTGTGACTGGGTTGAGGTCTAGTATTAAATGGGTATACTGTAAGAATGGCAGGAGGAGGTCAGCTAGCAAGGCTCCCAACTGAGAACCAGGAGTCACACCTAACTAAAGCTTGCTTCCTCTTCTTCATTGCATTAGTGTTTCTCAAAAACATTTACTGTCACCCATAATTTCTGTTTATGTCACTACCTGGCACACACCAGTGTAAACAAATGCAAAAATACTCTTTATGAAATGCATTTTATTATTCTATTGCCTCTACTCCTTTCAAGCTGTTTACGACCTCTGAAGAGATTCCATAATTAATGAAACATGACCCAAATATGAAATGAAGGAAGTTAGTTGGATAGTGTTTTATTTGCTCACAAAGTCATTAATTTTTTTTATAGAAAACATGGGCCCCATGAGAAATACAGCTATTAATGTTGGATGCAGAAGTAGATAAGTACTTTTTAATATGAACATTAAGAAACATTAATATTTCAGACAGGCACTGTACAAATAACAGGTTTCTAAATGTCTTTGTGTATATATACATACATACATCATACGTGTCTGTGTGTGTGTGTGTGTGTGTGTGTGTGTGTGTGTGTGTGTAGGCTGGGAAGGAGAGGTGATTTGAAAGAGGATGGCCCAAATAGGCTAAAATATTTGATGCTTGGTCCATAGTTGGTAGAACTCTCTTGGGAAGGATTAGGAGGCGTTACCTTATTGGATGAGGCGTGTCTCCAAGGTCTGGGCTTTTAGGTTTCAAAAGCCCATTCCAAGCCCAGTCTCTCCCTCCCCTCCATCACTCCTCTCCCCTTCTCTCTGCTGCTAATGCTGCTCATGGATTAGGAAGTAAGCTCTTAGCTTACTCCACTACCATAGCTGCCTGTCTCCATGCTCCCCACCATGATGATCGTGACTAACCCTCCGAAATTGTAAGCAAACCCTAATTAAATGCTTTCCTTTATAAGTTGCCTTGGTATGTGTCTTTTCACAGCAACAGAAAAGTAACTAAGTGTGTATGTATGACATGATCAAGGATCTAAAGCAGTTAAGTTTTTCAGTTATTATTTAAGATGTATATTATGTAGCAAAACATATGCTGTGGAGGTATTCAGGAATTTGGAAGATCCGCCCCAAGACAACCATTCCTTGAGAGTGCTAAGGATCAATTCTCATAAGTAGTTGTTTACATTTGAGTATCTAGCTCAAGAGATGTGCTCAGTAAGCATTTGGCATAATTGGGTAAATGGGTCATTTCAAGAGTAGACAAGGAAATAAATATTAGCAAAGACCCATGCCATCCTACAACATTAACATGCAAATCCTGATGGAGGTAGAAAATGGAACACTCTTGTGTCTCAATGATGAAATGAGACTTGTACACAGCCTATGGGAATAGTGATATGAAACAATGGAAATGAGGATGTACATACCATTTGCAACAATAACCTCACATGTGAAAGCACAGAACTGGAGCAAGATGTTTGCGTTGACAGCATTAGCAAAGAAAGCAAGCAAGCAGAACTGGCTGTAGATGGAATAAAAGACTTACTCGTATTTCCCCATTAGGTAAAAAGTAAGAGGGATGTGACCCAACAAGGCCTATTTTTTTTTAACATGTGTTGGTTTACACATAATTATAGGAATATGGAGAAAGACAGAGAAGGTCTTTCTAGGTTTAGAATGTGGGAGGGAGAGAAAGCCACCTGTGCTATATGCACGCTATCACAATAAAAATATTCTGTATGCTACAGTTCCTCTCACATACAATTATGTGTATAAGGGAATATTCAATAGCTGGCCATGGTGGTGTACAACTTTCATCCCAGTACTCAGGAGGCAGAGGCAGGCTCTGAGTTCAAGGCCACAAATCGAGTTCCAGGACAGTCAGGGTTACAAAGAGAAATCTTGTGTGGAAATGGACAGCCCCCCCCCCCAAAAAAAAAGAAAGGAAAAAATATCCAAAGGGATGTATAGGAGAAATAAAAAAGTCCAGCAGAAAATCAGATGTTTGATGGGTCAATGGACAGGCTGGCTGTTTTATGTTAAAACATCAAACAACACAGGAAAAGATGACCAGTCATTTTGCAAACTAGTATCTGATGCTAGTATTTCTTCGCCAACATTTTGGTACTTTTTCTATTTTAAAGGTTCTGTTTTCCAACCCCCCACTTCTTTGGCAGCACATTCTCAATCTCTTGAGATCTTTCTTCTGAGCTGTTGGTACTTTAAAGCCCTGTCCCTCTGCCTAGTCATGTTCTACACCCTCCCCGTGCGCTATTCCCCGGGCTTCAGTTAGTACCTACAAGGAAACAGGACTTCCAAGTTAGGTCTCCCCTATGTCACAAACACACCATAGACCGAAGTGTCTACTGGAAATCGCCGGTGGAACTCCCCACAGACACCTTAAATACAATCACAGCCAACACTAAACCCGTCGTCTTCCCTCTTTCAGTGGCCCTGTCAGTGGACCCGCATAGGCGGGTAACAGAGACACAAGCTGGAAATCGCGGCTCCCCTCTGCCCTCGGGATTGAGCTGAGCGGACAAAACTCTGCCCTCCAAATGCCAGAGGACAAAGTTCCGGGGAAATTACGAAAACTGAAATTCCACAATGCAAGGCACTTGTAAAAAAAAAAAAAAAAGTCTCTGTCCCCGCCACGGTGAGGTTTCCCCCCACGACGTCTTCCGGGTCGCAGCAGAGTTCCGCTCCGCTTCTCCCCTGGAGAAGCCACACCCAGGCAGCCGCTAACCTCCATCTGCTCAACGCTTTGCCTGGCCGCGCAGGAGGAGGCTGCAGAGATCCGCCCACTCCCACGCGTGACCTCCGACCTCCACCAACACCTCAGGGCCCGGGGCCGCCACAGACAGCGCGCAGCCCCGGGAAGTGAGCCGGCTTCACTTCACCCAACCACACGGACCGCCATCTCCAGCTCCCTAGGCCTTACCTGGGACCTGGGACCCGCCTGCCAGTCAACCGCCGAGGTGGGCCAGTACCCCGGCCTCTGGCAGAGGCTAACCCTAACCGCGTGGGAGAGCCGACGCGAAAGCGCCCGGCCGCAGGACACACAGGGAGCCGCCATGTTGGCTGTGAGAGCCCCTGGAGGGAGGGGCAGGGGCGGGGCCTAGAGCCTGCGCCAGGCCGGAACGCCCAGGCGGAAGCGCTTCCCGAGCAATAGGAACTAGGGGGCGTGTCCTGCAGCCAGGCCCCTCGCCGCTGATTGGGTGCGCGGGGCTTTGGCTGCAAGGTTGACTTGCACGCGGATCTTCAGCGGGCTGCTAATTGTAGTAGGAAGCCTTGCACGCTTGCCCCTCCTTCCAATTCCTAGCTGAGCCGCGGTACCCACACTCAGACATTCCTTTAGCAGTCCTTGCTCCCACTCCGTGAATTTTAAGCTTGCTTTCTTGTCCGCCTGCCTTCCCAGAACGGCCTTTTCCTTCTCTCGAACTTGCCAGGGTTCGAGATGTCAAAGACCTTCCTCCAGATGCTGACTAACTCTCTCCTGTGTTGATTTTTAGCTGTATGACCCACGGACTGACAACAAGCATTGCTCTGCTTAGCTTGGGGCTCTCTCTATGGTATTGTGTCTGAGCTTTGAAACCAGTAAGAACAGAGTGGCTGCATAGACAAGAATTTTCCTTACATTCTGAAAACTTGTAACTCCTAACAGTAACTCCCAGGGTGATTTCTATCCAGTACAAGTTGAATGATGGAATAAACCACTCTAAAAGGTTTTTCCAAACATTTTGAAAGGATTAGTAGAAGTCTAAAACATTGGTTTTTGGGGGGGTGGGGGTTGTTTTGTTTTTCCGCTGAGTAGTACTCCATTTTGTAAATGTACCACATTTTCTCTATCCATTCTTCAGTTGAGGGGCATCTGTGTTGCTTCCAGGTTCTGGCTATTACAAATAATGCTGCGATGAACATCGTTGAACAGATGTCCTTGTTGTATGAATGTGCTTCTTTTGGGTATATGCTTAAGAGTGGAATTGCTGGATCTTTTGGTAGACTGATTCCCATTTTCCTGAGGAATCGCCGTACTGATTTCCAAAGTTGGCACTCCCACCAGCAGTGGAGGAGTGTTTCCCTTTCTCCACATCCTCTCCAGCATAAACTGTGTCATTGGTGTTGTTGATTTTAGCCATTCTGACAGGTGTAAGATGGTATCTCAGAGTTGTTTTGATTTGCATTTCCCTGATGGCTAAGGATGTTGAACATTTCTGTGTCTTTCAGCCATTTTAGATTCCTCTATTGAGAATTGTCTATTTAGTTCTGTACCCCACTTTTTATTGAATTATTTGGTGTTTTGGAGACTAGCTTCTTGAGTTCTTTGTAAATTTTGGAGATAAGCCCTATGTCGGATGTGGGGCTTGTGAATATCTTTTCCCAATCCGTGGGCTGTCATTTTGTCTTGTTGACTGTGTCCTTTGCCTTCCAGAAGCTTACCAGTTCCAGGAGGTCCCATTTATTAATTGTTGATCTCAGTGTCTGTGCTTCTGGTGTAATGTTCAGGAAGTGGTCTCCTGTACCAATTCGTTCAAGGGTATTTTCTACTTTCTCTTCTAATAAATTAAGTGTGGCTGGATTTATGTTGAGGGCTTTGATCCATTTGGACTTCAATTTTGTGCATGAAGATAGTCTTCTATATGCCAGCACCATTTGTTGAAGATGCTTTCTTTGTTTCATTGTATAGCTTTAGCTTCTTTGTCAGGTGTTCGTAGGTATTCGGGTTAATATCAGGGTTTTCAACTCGATTCCATTGGTCTACTGTCTATTTTTGTGCCAATACCAAAAACAAAAACAATGGAATCTTGAAATTCGAAGGCAAATGGATGGAACTAGAAGAAACTATTCTGAGCGAGGTAACCCAGTCACAAAAAGACAAACATGGAATGTACTTACTCATATGTGGATTTTCGACATAGAGTAAAGGATTACCAGCCTACAATCCACACTGCCAGAGAAACTAGTAAACAAGGAGGACCCTAAGAGAGATATTCATGGTTCCCTGTAGAAGGGGAAAGGGACAAGATCTCCTGAGCAAATTGGGAGCATGGTGGGAGGGGAGAGGGAGCAAGGAGATGGGGAGAAGAGGAGGGGTGAGGATTTCATGATGGGACAGGGAGGTTGAGTTGGGGGAAGAACAGAAGAGAGCAAGATAAGAGATACTATAATAGAGGGAGACATTATAGGTTTAAAGACAAATCAGGCACTAGGGAAATGTCTGGAGAGCTACAAAGATGACACCAACTAACAATCTAAGCAACAGAGGAGAGGCTACCTTAAATGCCCTCCCTTGATAATGAGATTGATGACTAATTTATATGCCATCCTATAGACTTCATCCAGCAGCTGGTGGAAGTAGAAGCAGACACCCACAGCTAAACCTTGAACTGAACTGGAATCCAGTTGCAGAGAAGGAGGACTGATGATCAAAGGGGTCCAGACAAGGCTAGTGAAACCCACAGAAACAGCTGACCTGAACAAGGGAGAGCTCTTGGTCCCCAGACTGATAGCTGGGAAACCAGCATGGGACTGGTCCTGACCTCCTGAATGTGGGTATCAGTGAGGAGACCTTGGAAATCTATGGGGTCCCTTGTAGTGGATCAGTACTTATCCCTAGCATAGGAATGGACTTTGGGAGCCCTTCCCACATGGAGGAATACTCCCTGAGCCTAGACACAAGGGGGTGGGCCTAGGCCCTATTCCAAAGGAAAGAACAGACTCTGAAGACCCCCTATGGAAGGCCTCGCCCTCCCTGGGGAGCAGAAAGGGTATGGGATGGGAAAGGTATTAGTTGGGGCCAGGGGAGGAGGGGAGTGAGAGGGATCTGGGATTGACATGTAAAATAATCTTCTTTCTAATTAAAATAAAAAATAAAAAAGTTTAAAACAGAAAATGAAATCAAAGTGGCCAAGTAAAAGGCTAGGGGATGGCTCAGCAGTTAAGAACACTAGATATGCTGGGCGGGGTGGCTCATGCCTTTAATCCAAGCACTGGGGAGGCAGAGGCAAGTGGATCTATGTGAGTTCGAGACCAGCCTGGTCTACAAGAGCTAGTTCCAGGATGGCCTCCAAAGCCACAGAGAAACCCTGTCTCGAAAAAACAAAACAAAAGAACACTAGATACTCTTGCAGAAGACCTAGGTTTGGTCCCTAGCATTCATGTGGCAGGTCACATCTGTCTGTAATTCTAGCTCTGGGCCATCTGACACTGTCTCTGTATTTTAAGGACATTATGTTTGTGGATACAGACATACATACATGCAAGCAAAACACTCATACATATGAAGTAGAAATCCTTTTTTAAAGTGATGATGTAAGTACCAACACTATGCTTAATCACCTCACAGAACATAGCTCTAGGGGAGTAAAAATAGCATAGTTTCAGAATATAAGAGAAAAACTTTAAATGGGATGCTTTTTGTTAAGGGGAGTGGGATTCACCTTTTTTCCCTTTGTTTGTTACTACCTTTTACATTAGTGAAACCCTTTAGTCTGTGGTAGAGGTCCAGGACTAGTATTTGGAGAGCAAGATTTTAGAGCTTACTAAAATAGAGGTGTCATGATGCTGGCCAGGGAAGCAGGTAGGCTAACTGCAGATCTGTATCACCCCCTCCTTTCCTCCAAATCCAGTCCCCTAGTCTCATCTCCAGCTTTGTAGCAAGCCTATTGTGCCCTCTCCTCACCCTCTTACCCTATTCCCTGGGTACTGAACAGATCCTGGTGGAACACCCTGCTTACCTCCCTCTGTGGACATTCCCCACCACCCTCCCAGTCCATCCTTATTCCTAAATGGCAGCTCCCAATACCTAGAAATACATTTTACCTGGAACCCCTGTGGCACACTTGGCAGGATCTCAGAAGCATTCCCTGCCAGGCAACACACAGCTACCACACTCTCCTAAGAATCAGAAAGAGCAACAGAAACCAAGGAAGAAACCCCCACCCAACAAAGGCAAGACCAGATATCAGCCCCTAGAATTACAATCACCCCAAAATAAGATACCTAGACACCATTGTAAAAACACAATCAAAACAGTCAGGACAATATAGCTCCACTGGGTACCAGCAACCCTACCACAATAGGCCCTGAGAATTGAAACATAGTTGAAGCCTAAGACAAAGATTCTAAACTAGGCTTCATGAATTTGATAGAGGTACTTAAAGAGGAAATAAATAAATCCCTTAAAGAAATCCAAAAAGACAAATAGTGGAAGGAAATTAATAAAGCAGTTCAAGGCCTGAAAATGGAAATAGAATCAATAAAGAAAACCCAAACTGAGGAAAATCTGGAAATGAAAACATTATCTCAAACAGGAACCTCAGAAGCAAGCCTGGCCAACAGGATACAAGAGTTGGAAGAGAGCATCTCAGGCGTTGAAGGTGCCATAAAGAAATGAATACCTTGGTCAAAGAAAATGTTAAATCTAAAAAAAAAAAAAAAATCATCCTGTCACAAAACACCCAGGAAATCTATGACACTGGGTACAAGAAGTTTACAGAACACCAAATAGATTGGACCAGAAAAGAAAGCCTCCTCACCAGGTAATCATCAAAATACTAAATGTGCAGAACAAAGACAAAGTATTAAAAGGTGAAAGGGAGGAAAACCAAGTAACATATAAAGACAGGGTGATTAGAATTACTCCTGGCTTCTCTATGGAGATTTTAAAAGCCAAAGGGACTGGATTTATGGTCTACGTAAGAGAACACAGATGCCATCTCAAACTACTATGCCCAGCAAAACTTTCAGTCACAGTTTTCAGACGGAGAAAATAAGACATTCCATGAAAAAAAAAATTAAGCACTATCTACAAATCCAACCCTATAGAAGGTGCTAGAAGGAAAACTTCAACCTGAAGTGGTTGAAGAAACAAAAAAGCACAATGACTAAGTAATCCTAAACCAGCAAATCAAAAGAGGGGAAACACACACACTCACACCAACAAAATAACACTGCTCATTGATATCTCTCAATGGTCTCAATTCCTCAATAAAAAGACACAGACTAACAGAATGTATCTGAAAACAGCATCCATCCTTCTGCTGCATCTAAGAAACACACCTTAACATCAAGGACAGACATTACCGCAAGGTAAAAGGATGGAAAAAGAAAT